GTATTGTCTGAAGCGCATAAAAAACCTCTCGTAAGTATTTCAAGTGATCCTACACCGAAAAATTGTATACCAATATATCATCAAATATAACAAAATATACAATAATAAATTTTTTTATGAAGGCCAAAAATACTTGGTTTATCAACCCTATGAAAGTACTCGGAATATTGAACAAGCCAAAGGGCATGACTGTCCACTCACACAATCCATCACGAGCCTTGAAAGCTATCTTCCCTCATCTCCAGGTCACATCCAAATGTAGTGATAACCACTGTTCAAATCGATCTTGAAGAAAATGCTAGCCCATGCAAATAATCCAACAAATCATCCAATTGTGGAATTGAGATTTGATACTAAATGGTAATTCTATTCTCAATACTACTATCAATACACATGTGAAAACATTCATCCTTTTTAGCACAATCAGAGTTGAACCTGCATACAGGCTAGTAGTTTCATGAACTAAAACTCATATCATCCAGTCTGCAATGTGCTTCTACAATTCCTCATACTCGGTTGGCCACATCATGTAAGCAAATTGATTTGAAAGAGCTAATCCTGAGATGAAATCTATATAGCGTGATGGATCCATCTCAATGGTGGCAACTCATGAGGCATACTGTTAATAAGGACATACTGAAACTCCTTCTACGGGGGATTTCACTATCTCTGATATCAACACCTCGAACTCACTATCTTCTATAACCACCAATTATAGTCCTAATGGTGTCTCCTTAAGGCCTAAAAAAAATTAGTGTGTGGCACCGTAGTCTCCAACTGTAAAAATGTCGATGACATCAAACTCTCCAAGATAAAAGTATAAAACGCATTCTATTCTTGATAAAAAATATATGTTTTTGTAGCCATCATAACTTGTGCAAATCATACTGCTAAAGGTGGCCCAATAGATGTAACAAACATCCATAGGCACAAAATCACACCACATTTACTCTATAAACTTATCTGCAATAGGAAACTCAACTAGGCTTCTCCTATCAACCATATTCTCATTCCTTTCTTCAACAAAAATAAAGAATATGACTATATGTATTGTATGATGAGGCTCAATTTTGTCCATCATGTGAATGAACATTATATTCTCATAATTGGTTCCATCAATGATAAAATTGCATATGTTTTCCTTCACAATCCAATAAGTACGAAAGATATTATAGTAGAGCCACTACTGCTCTCTATTACGATCAATTGAAAGGACTCACTAAAGAACTATTATCTCTCACTCATCAATAGGCATTTAATACTCCTCAAATCCTCACCTTCTCCTATATCTTCAATGTTATTGTCCACTTCTTGCATGAGTCCCTAATCAGTGAAAGAAATCATCTTCTTGTACATGTAATTAAATGTCATGTGCACAAAGTAATGGAGCTTGAAGCAATTCCTGGATGGAAGGATCGTGAGGATGTTGGAACCCCCCACCTTCTCTCTGCCCTTGGTCAATTTCTCACATTGGGCTTAATTTGGGTGTTCTAGTATATGTACTCTTGTTATTTGAGCTTAGGGTCAAGCCCCAACTATAGGGTATGGCAATCCTCAGGTGATAATGTTACTTCTCAACCTTCAAAAGTAGGATATGTAAGTCAAGTAGAGACTGATATGGCTACAATCGTACCACTTTACTAATAGATGGTTTCAACACCCTAAAGGACCTTACCACTATATACTCCTCTAACTCCACTCACTCATATTTCAAGATGATTTATTCAAATTCAGTCGTATAACACTTCACAGATAAATCTCACTGGTGCAGATTGTGAAATTTTAAGAACAAATCATATCGACAATTAGGAAGTATATTTGTGTTGCATCTCCCACTTCATTTTAGATCATATAGTAATATTTATTATTCCCTTTTGTGCCTAAGGAACTTCTGATTTTTCCATCGCAAGAAAGTGCATTTCATGACTTCGATCAATGTTAATTTGACTCTCATATCTTATAGAACATCCTTGTAGTCAAATATTCATTCAATGAACTTATCTGGGTCTATGTGACCGTCAAATTCTCACTTCAGTCATTATCCCTTTTCTGATATTCAATGTCAAATCACCAAGGCATTAATTCATTACTAAATTCTTTTTGATGGAAGGGGTTAAAAATTTCTCCTCTCAATCTTGCGTGTTACCATTAAGGCTATGAATAATTCTTTGAGTTATCCTATAAAGTTCGACAAATCTTCGCTGCAATTAAAAGATTTTTTGTTACATATCCTCCATTGTAAGCTCTTGAACACTCCTTTTTGTGTTTCTTCTTGGAGGCATAAGGGGTCCTCCCCAATTTAGTATTGCGGACAATGGAAAGTGTTAACCGAAACTGAAAAAAAGTGTGGGGTGCTTAATTAAATGGTTAGGGTTTGAATTGGTGGATGTGTGGGCCATTTAAGAATTAAAATTTATATCGACGATAAGATCGAAGATTAGGGTTAGAAATTTGGATTGGAACCTCATTTAGATCTAAATGACACTAATCTAGGATTCCTAGATGAAGTAGAAGGATCAATAAGGAAATTTGAAAGGTTGTAAGAGATGAAAAAAGGAAAAAAGGGCAACTACTTTTCCAGTTTACGATGGGCGCCCTTCAAGAAAATAGGAACAAACATCAAGGAGGCTCAATGACCTATTCACAATCAAACCACGAACATAAAACCTGAGAGAGAAGATATATACAGCACTGCATGAGCCAAATTGCAAAGAAAACAATCTCCAACTTATCTTATATCCAAGCAAAAGTAACCTAACATGTTTTAAAAAGCATATTTATACTAAGGCAAATAAAAACCTAATTATATTTAAAAAAAAGCAAATCAAAGGGCGCACAATGGTCGGCTTGCCCCTGTAGGCAGGAAAAATCCGATAATGAGATGTTTTGGGTGGAAATCTAGCTTCCCATCCCGCATGGACAAAATTCAAGCTTCTGCATCACATTGCCTCTGCTTAAAGGAATAAACCAATCTATCAAAAGACTTTAAAATTTCCACTAACCTGCTTAATGTGTTATTTGCATTCATAGTCTTTGCCAACTTCTTTTAGCACATAAAATGACATGATCATTTTTATAAAGTAGTAAATTTTCAATGTCTTAGAAATACGTAACAAGTAACCCTAATCACCGCATGAAACAAGCATGTCTTGCACTCCCACAATATAAAGAGAGAGAAAAAAAAAAGGAAAAACTTCTTTTCTTGAGAAATTTTCATTCAATATTTTCAAAGTTGACTTGGCGTCAGTGTAAAACTTACTTCTGATGTCAGGAATAGTTGCAGTGTTGAAGTCAATTTTGTTTTAGTTTATTTATACTTTTTAATTTAAAATTATAAAAAACTATATTGAAAATATTATTTCAAAGATTTTAAGATATGAAATAGATTTTTTCAACGATACCAAGTTCTCCATAATCCCTAATAGATTAAAAATGGTATGTCAGCACCATGATATGACTCACATGCCCCTGGACCAGTATGATAACCACTGTCTTTCAAGTTACAATTACATTATTGTGTAATTATTACTTAAGAAAATAATAAATACATAATAATTAATTAAAGTTATGCATTTCATAAATAAATTTTGATGATGAGACTGAATACATTTAGTCAATACATTAGATGATTTTCTAAATTAGAAGCAGATTAATATCTTGCTATAATTATTTTATTTAAAAACCCAATAACATTTGGCACTTTAAATTGTATAAAAATTATTACTATAAGAGGTAGGGCAATGCTTAGGTTAGCTTCATTGTGACATGAAGGCCTCAAGTTTAAAACACATAAATAACCTCTAAATAATATATGGATAAAACTCCCTAGATCAAACCATCCCCCGTATATTCCATTAGCAGAAAGCCTCATACAATGATAATTATAGAATAACAATTTTGAAAAATCCATTTAAAATTTTTAAATAAAACCATTTGCTCTTAAAAATAATGTTTTGAACTGTTTCCTTCCACTTATTCTAAATAAAAATTTTATCCATTATAAAGTAAATACATTAGTTTTGGTCCTTTCGGATGGTCTTTCAAACCATGATCTCATGCAATGATCAATTAGGAAACATATCTTTATCGTTTGAAAAGATACAGTATATTTAAAAAAAATTAAATAAAGAGCAAAATTAACTAACGGAAGAAAGTGACTTATGGAAATTCTTAAATGCAAATCCAACCAAATGCCAACTTCTTTCACTGCTTTAAATGGTCTCTTACTAGTTCACTCCTCGGAAATGAAAATATTGTCAACTTATTTTACAAATAAAACATTTTTTATTGACATTACAGCATCAGTTAAATATAAATCATATTAATCAAGCATCTTTTGATTCAAATAAACCCACAAAATGAGCTATAACAAAGCTCATTATCTAATAGAGACGAGAAGTACACTTTGTTTACAAAGTCCAAACAACATAGAATCAACTTCATTTGTCTTCACTCAACTATTTATTGAAGGTTTTATGAATCCTTTATCATCACTCATTTCGTTGACAGTGTGTGGTGTTAACTCTAACTAATGGGACGCCATTTTTTGTGTGAATCCTTGATTTTAACCTTTAAAACACCTTTTTAATAGGCTACCCCTTCATTGTTGCAGCTATTGCTCTTTACTGCATGTTCTAAACGCCTAAGTATAACCATTAAAATCCTATCTTCAATAGGTTATATTGTCATGATCAAACGATACAATTATGTTGCACTCAAACCTTCCAAGTTTTGTGAAACTTTCCCCATATATATTCACATTTGCATCCATAAAAAAAGGGAGTAACATCAATGTATCATAAGGTAACAACATGCAATTTGCTTTAGGCGGTACTGATATATAAACAAAATGTTTAAGTAAAAAATGAACTCTGTGCTTTCCACAACAAATACGCAATAAAAATCTTAAGCTTGATATTAGTTTTCTGAAAAAAATTTAGAGAACTAAATAATTTTGTGAGAATGAAAACCCATAGTTAAGAACCTAAATTTGAGTATACCAGCTAACAAAATTGATCTTTGAGCCATCGGGAAAGCCATGCACCTCCTTCTCCGGGCCAAGTGTGCCATCACTCAATAAAGAATGGATCACTATGCCAGTGTAGAAAGACCTAAATGCATATACTATTAGGTATCTTGCATCAAAACATGTAAATACTAAGAGGCCGTTTGGAATCACTTTTGATTTTTATAATTTTTTTTTATTTTGTATTGTTAATATATTTACTTAAATAAAATAATGTTTGGTATGGTATAACATGTTATAGTTATTTTTAAAACACTCAACACAACATTTTGATGTTTTGAGTGTTTTTAAAAACAAGATAATTTATATTTTAAAACAAAAAATAAAAACATGCAAAAAGTGAACCAAACAAACATGTTATTTAAATAAAAACAAAAGTGATACCAAACAAGCCCTAAACATCAATTTAACAAATCTAACTCAAATGGCTGGTAAATCCAATGGCATACAATCTACTCCTTGAATTAGCACTTCCATCAATCCTTATTCCAGCAAGCTTTTCTTCTGGTCTTGCAAGCTCTGACAAGGGTGGCAAAGATCTGCGCTTCAGGAAAAGTATCTTATCTCTATGGGGGGAAAACGATAATGCAGGAATGGGAGGTGCATCTACAATGTCTCTTATCTCCTTAGGAGGAAGTTGGTATCCAAATAGCAAATCTGAACCAAATAAGACAACCAGCAATGAGTTAATATCTTTTCTTTCGGTTAAAATCAACCTAAACAATATTTTTTTGCAATATAGCAATAGGGATGGAACCAGGTTATGTCCAAGGTGGGCAATTTGAGATTTATCTATATAGGTAGTAAAATTTAATATTTTTTTGTTAAGTACAATTTCATAAATTTGCCCCCACTTCCCCTCGCAC